AAAAAAAAAAAAAAAAAAAAAACCATATATATAGAGAGATGTAAAGGGGACATGAACTAATAAAGTGGCAAGAAAATGAATAGTAAACAGAAGCAGCTAAAGAAAAGACCAATTGCTATCATTCTGTCTTACAATATTAACCTATTTCCTTTCCCACATACACTTCTGGCCTTCACTATCTGTGGGAAAAAAATTACATATCCTTCTTTTGAATAATACACAACTCCTATCACATTAAATTAAACTTATTCAAGGGTGTCCAAGCACTTTTGGTAGATTGATCACATAATTATATTGATGGACACATAAAAAGAAATTAAAATTCTGGCATACTCAATGGAATTTCTCCAAGGGACATGTATATTAGATCATCATCCGCCAGAGTACCCTGAAATAATAAGCAAAAGACAGATCATTAAAACTTTATCGAGGTCAACGGGAAATGAATACGAGCTCATATAATTCTAAATTACTATGGACACAGAAGAAGGTGGAAATGGAAGTAAACTATGAAGCATAGAGACTCGAACACTTCTATTAACATTTATTGAAGAATCTAACAACAATCTTTAAGAAGCTAGACAAAGTATCAAAAAGAAAAATCTTCAATAAATGATGAAGTTGGATATAATCGAGGAAGTACTTCTCCGTTCGGTAGAGGCATTTCATTGTTCATTGAGTTAAGGTCTCCTTGAACAGAAGCACAGTTAGGGAATTCTGCTCCAAGCAACTCCGAAATCATAATTCCATAGCCATCATGAACATCAGGCATATCTCCATTATTTTGTGCGTTGTTGGGAAAGCCATCCAATCCATTAAATACAGTTTCCCTCCTGAAAATTACATTAATACAGTTAACTACAATGTTCGTATACAATTTAAAAGCTTCTAATAGAGAATTCAAACAAAAGGAAACTAGTTGAGGTGCAATTATCAGCATATTTAAGAAAATGTAAGAGAAAAATAACGTACAAATAAAATATGAGAAAACTTACTTTCTCTCTGTATTATGGAAGGTCTTGTCTACTTCGACAGCAGAGTCATCTTCCAAATCAATAATTTCAATCTCTTTACTGCCAGTCACCACACCATTTTGACCAAATTCAGGAGCACTGCTTATGGACAAGTCAATATCAACAGGAGTTCTTTCTCTTTTTGTTTCAGAAATAGATGGGAAGATGAGAAGCGGATTATTTTCGTGATTATCATGTATATCAGAAGCCTCCATAAGGTTAAGGTCACAGATCTTAAATGAATTCGGAAAAAGCTGCTTTTCTTGTGCATAATCAACACAATGCTCACCCCCGCCTTTCATGAAATGAAAACCCTGCACTGAGTTCACACAGTTAGCTGCTACAATAACTTCATGATCAGGCTTGTTTTCCTCAGAATTAACTTTCGTTTTATCAAACTTCAGAAGGTCAAAGGATTCATCTTCCTTAGAAGTCATCAACGGAATCCATTCTCTTGGTTTTTTACTACTCCCCTCCACCACATCACTCTCATCCAAAGATCGTTTCTTACCCCTATCCTCAAACATAGAATCTGTCCGTTCAAATATGGCAGGACTTTGGCAAGATTCTTCCTTGTTCTCGTTCCAAAATGGTCCCTGCTGGAAAGATTGAGACGTCAAAGAGCTTGTCTTCTCACCAAATCTAGGATATAGCTCCTCTATTATACCAGTTTCCTCAACAGCTTCCAGTTTAGATCTTTCAGAGTTCAGATGCTCAACATCATGTTTTTTAGCTGATACAGCACCAGATAATGCACAACTGGAAGAGTCACTGTCGAGTGAAATTTCAGATTCTCTGTTAGGGTTAATATCAGAAGGTCGTTCTGACACAGTTGTAATAGGATCGGCCTTAGAAACCTTGTACGCCAATGCAGAGCGAGTTTTAGTGGGGAACTTAGCAAATCTGCAGAATGCTAGTAGATCAGTTTCTTGCTTTACCAAGGGATCACCATCAGCAGCTTTGTTCTGGATGGATAGTTTCTCGGTCACACAATGTTTCTCAGTTTCATTAATACTGGCAGTATTTTTCACATCCTCAGACCCTGAATCTATGTTACCTAAATCATCAGAATCTTTAGCAAGTTTCTTCTCACATGGAAGATCTTTCACAACAGCAGAAGTACTTGCCTTTGAGCCTACATCATCCGGCAAAGGGTACTTAACCAGTTCAGGTCCAGAATCCTCAGGTGTGTCACCTTTTCGTCCTAACTTGGAAGGTTTGAGATCTTGCAGTTCAGAAACAATTTCTTCACCACTTTGCTGTTGATTACTATAAGCAGAAAGATTATCAGCGTCCTCATAAGCTTCTGTATCTGGAGAAGCTCTCGCTCTATCATTGTAATTATTGCTCCTACCTTGGCCACTCCAATCAGAGCCACTACTACGGAAGGATGAGGTTCTTCTTCGGCCTCTCAAATGATTTCGTGATGCTGAACCATATTCATCAGGAGGCTGCCTCCACCCTGACCCGGAATCAGGTCCCATATGTCCCGAATGAGGGGAAGCAGTAGACGCTCGTCCTTCTTCTCGAAGTTGACCTAATTCCTGAAACTCAGAAGACTCCCTCCTCAAGCTTCCACCTTGCCATTTACCATGTAAAACACTAGATGGGAGCAAACCTTGAAAAACTAGGTATTCAGCTGCAAGGCGACCTGCTTCCATAAAAATGTCAACAGAACCCCCACCTCTGCGCGGAGGAGGCAGTGACTGGGATGATTGATATGATTTGGGGTATCCCTGACCGCGCCCAAAGCCACTCGGATGATTAAAGTTGCGATAATCATTGCCATATATGCTACCATGGCCCCTAACCGATCCCTCTGGAGAGATTCGAGAAGAAGCTAATCCCACTCCCATGGAACTAGACCTAAATCCATTTCCCGTATTACGGTGACGGGGATGCATAATTTCAAGAAATAATTCAGAAACAATTTCGGTATAGTCGTATTATTCCTCTACCTTCCCTGTGCTGAAGCAATCAAAAAAAAAAAAAAAAAAAAAAAAAAAAAAAAAAAAAAAAAAAAAAAAAAAAAAAAAAAAAAAAAA